TCATTATGTTATCTTTGAAAAATTTACTGAGTTTCACCTGACAGATAATAGCTTTTCCTCTGCCAGCACAACAGAGGAATAACAAACTAATACATGGGATGAACTAATATATATCAAAAGAAGTGTTACTTTTGACAGAGAAACAGCTTTTGCTTTTGGTAGGGTTTTGAAGGAATTTTAAAAACAACTTCCTGGCTCGTTTTCTTTCCAGCCCTGTGAAGTCGTGCACATAGTGATGCTATTGCTGCGGAGCAGGGGTGCGTGGCTGCAGGGTCTGCGGGCGAGCAGCAGAACTGCGCTTGGATGCCTCTTTACTGAGCGTTGGTCGGTGCGATGGGTCCGTTCGAAAACATAGTAGATTGCTTCCTTGCTTCTGCCCGCTGATTTGTCTCTGGAGTTCCTCATGGGCTCTGAGTTGCATAACCGGTGTGGGATTTGAGCCTTATGTTCTTTTTGTTGGTGGGTATTATATTAACCGTATCTGCACGCCCCGGTGATTAAGAGCCAATTATGCAGCAGGAACAAATACTTTCCAAAACCTTCTCTGCTCAAAAGTCGATGTGAGCCTCCAGCAACCGCTGCTTCTGCAATTAAAGCAGAGTGAACCAGCAGGTTATTTCTGAGGAAGTTTCATTGTCTGATACTTTCTTCAGTGGGTCAGAGTCTTCTTGTTTTCCAGCCTCGGTAGAGATCTGAACGTGCCTGCGAGGGGTTGTGGGCAGGGCTGTCCATTGAGAGCCAAGGTACAGGACTGAGAGAGCCTGGCTGCAATTAATGAATTCATCTGCTGTGGATCTCTTCTGAAACAAATCTTTACAATGGCTCCTGCTCCTTTCTGTCAGTCAGTGTCTGCTTTTTCATGTCCTGCCTGCTTTTCTCTCCCATTTTGTTTCTCTTAGTAAAACCTCACTCTATGTTAAGAGCCAGCGCACGGTGTCACAGCTCTCTCCTCGGCTGCAGTGCCGGTGTGATCTCCGGAAGGTACGCGCCTGTGGCGCCTCAGTTTGGAACTAGCGTTTCTTGTGCATAATCAAAACTGCCTGATTTCAAAAGTATCGAGCTCCTCTCATTGGCATCACAGCACTTAATAGCTTTGAAAGTCATGTCACTCTTTTGAATACCGGCTGTAAGTGGCATCTGGTTTTTAAGCATGGTGTTACATCCTCAGCATTGTCCTTTACCAGTCCTTGTAACAAGTAGTATTACCTGCTCAAACTTCAAATCGTAGCTGTCAAATATATTTCAACTCTTTCAGTAGAAGGCATTAGTGAAAAATATGACCATGAGGGTTTTTTTGCTTGATCTGATTTGCATACTTTTAGTGTTTTTATAAAACATTTAAACACTTTACAAAAATCCTTTACTGGTGTGGTTGAGACTATTAAACTGCAGTGATAAACAACAATTTGTTGTAAATTTAATTGTTTGGCTTTTTGTAGTCTGTTCTCATTTTAATCAAAACAAAAAAACTTCCAACTCTTTCTGCAAATCCAAAAACATGTCAACATAACCATTATCCAGTGAAGGCTTGAAGGTACTCAGTTGTCACCTTGTCATCTTGTTTTAGATAGATGAAAAGCTGGATAGAAAGCCCAGATGTATAGGAGCATATATGTTCTTTATGTAGGTGGTTTGGAGGAAGCCTTTGTTTATTCTTTAATATTTATATGAAGCAGTGATCACATGAGGTGAATCATACTCATTTAAGGATCCTGCCTAAACAAAGCCCCTTGGTCAATGCCATGCTTTCTGGGAACGGACATTTAATATTCTTTGCCTTGAGGGCTCACTTCTTCTGTGAAATAAGTAGTTTCTCTTCTCTCTGCGTTGTAAAATTTACAACAGGTCTTACATACCTGAAGTTGTTGGACTGATAGACCTAGACACCAAAGTATATAAAAAAAAAAATCACAAAAGTAAAACTCCAGCAGTCCCCTCACCTTCCTACTATGGTGTTGAAGGCATAAAGGGCAGAACATAGGAGAGGTTTAGGTCAGTTTGTTCTCTGGACACATGCTCAGGCCGTGCCCTGCTTGTTTTTTCAGTGAGAGAGAGATATATATATATGTATGAGAGAGAGATATATATGTACACACCACTTGACTAGAGACTAGGAGCTGCCTTGGCACCCACATTGAATTATGTGCAGAGCTTGCAGATAATGTTTTTGTTGCTAACAAGATCTAAAACTCGTGACACTGCATCGTATTACACTCCCTTGAACCATTCAGGTCTTGAGCCCTGAAGTTAAAAATTAATGATGAAAGTAGGAGCAGCTGCCTGGTGACTAACCCAAAGAGCAGCTATGCCTTAGACATTGAACTTGTGCGTCATCCCAAGTGTTGAAATCTTGCAATTTAATAGCACGTTAAATAAATAACTGTTAAGTTAAATGACAGTTTTACAAATACTGTTTATTGTCACAACAATCAACAGTGACAATTCCAGTATAATGTAAGAATACATGTACCATGTTTATCGGGTTGACCAAAGCACAGCAAGGGTAGGTGATACGACCCACAGCTCTCAGAGACTCGGGGACATGGGGTGTGTTTGCCTTCAGTAGATTCACTGGCCAGCTTTCGGAAGCCCCCAGATCTGCTCAAGTCTCTGTGGCTAGTGTCTCTAGTTGGCCAGCTCTGTGCCTTCCCATGTACTTAACCGATAAAAATCACTGGACTTTGAATTGGGGGTAATTTAAACCAGGTGAATCTGGATTTCTCTCTCTAGTTGTGTATAATATTTTTGGTATTTTGACTGATCGTTATCACAAGAAACCTCTGTCGTTAAGTATGAGAGGAGTTTCCATAAATAAAGGTGTCATTAACCTTGACATGTTACTTAATGGTATGTACTGTGATGTTGATAGGTGTGGCAATGCCCAGTATTTTATGATAGGCAATGTCCTGCATCTTCAGAACTGACTGGTTATATAATAATTCTGAAAGTTGTAACATGAATATAATTCTGTGCCGTCTACTTGATTTCAGCTAGTGTAAATTGCGTATAATGAGATCCTGGCATTTGACAGGACAAAAATCATTAACTGATGTTGGGCATTTGAATCTCATTAATGTCCTTCATTTTACCTGTATAATTCACTTATTTCATGACACAAGTGTGACATACTGATTTCACAAACATATGTGTCATTATAATAAAGTAGGTTAAATCTGTTGTAGCCACAGTGGTATTGCAAATAAATTGAACTACATCTTCAAGCAATTCGGCAGACAAATGCACATTTCAGAATCCTGGCTCAGGAATCTAGCAGTAAACTAAGAAATAGTCGATAAGAGTTTGAAAATTACAAATTTTGCATTTCTCTATTATCTGCAAAAGACTAAAAAAAAGAAATTCAATAAAATTATCCTCCATCTTCCCACCGTCTTTTAAATTTGTGTGCCATTAAAAAATGCAGGAATAGTAACAGCTTTCTTGGTTTGTCCTTTTTCCTCCAAGGTTTAGCAACTTCCCCCAGTGGTTAGTACAGCACTCCAAGCAACTAATCCTGTATCTATAAACTGTAATGTCAAAGGATTAATGTGTGCCTGGGAACGCAGGTCAAATCTGCTTTAGATCACAACAGTTTGAGTTCAGCTCCTAGCTGGAATATCACAAAACTACCATATAATTTAGTACAAGTCTTGCATTCCTATACTTCAGCTGCTGGTTGCCTTTAATAAAAAGAGGCCCAGGATTGATTTCCCTGAGAATGTATTTTTCTTTGTCTAAAACCAAAGTAGTATCAGCTGGAAAGTAGAAGTATTTCTTAAAATAGTTCTGTATTAGATATAAATAGCACTTTCAAAATCTGCTTTTAAAATGCTGTAGAAAGTACAGTACAGTAAGTTACTGATATTTCCTGCATTTCTGCTGTTTGCTGTGTTACAATGTCCAGATCTTGCAAGCATCTCTCGGTGCCTTCCACTGCGTAGCTGCTGAGCCCCGTGGTGCTGCACACAGACACGGTGGCATACAGCAGCTGAGTCTCTTTTGACAGTAAAGACAATTATTTTTAAATATTTTTTACATTGCGTAGAATGGTGTATATGTAGTAAGCAGACATAGATAACTACATCTGCTTTATTTATGTTGAGTCACCAGCAAAGCACAGCAATTTATACCTAATTACCTGCAAATGTAATATCCAGAATCTCTCTCAGTTTGCTTTCTTGGTACTTCTGTTATGTATTGTAGTCATGTATCTTTGATCGCGTTTCCTATATGAATTCTTGTAATACGTTTTTACTTTCCAGGAAAAAGTGGCAGATATCCTTTTAGAATATTTGTTTGATCTTAACATTGAAATATAATTGAGAGTAGGTATATTAATTTACTTTTGGTTAACGTGGGTGGGGTTTTTCATTAATTTCATCCTATTTTAAGGCTACAGTGTATTCTATTATCATAACATAAAATAATTACCAGCTTTAGAATATGGCTGTTTCATTACAACATATAAAAAGCAATATTGTGTGCCACTGTACACGTCTCAGTGAAGGGGCTGTGTGCTTTTCGACTCTTGTTCTGGTCAGGTTTACCAATATTGAACTGCAAATTGAAAACCCTGTGTGTTGTCAAACTGTCAATTACCATCACAGTGGATGACATTTTTTAATTTGGTTGGTTGATTTACTTAGAGAAAATAGTTGACCGGATGAAGTAAACAGCCGCGTACTTTTGCTGACATGAAAAACCCGCCTGAAATGACGGTTCCTGCCTGCTGCCCTCTGGTGGGGTCGCCGTCCTGGAGCAAGTGGCCGTGCTCACGTTCCTGGGTGCTTGTTCCAAAACCGATAGAACCAAGCATTTATTTCATAACCACCTTCTTGTTTGCTTCGTCTTTTAAAAAACTCAGCCTGGGCACCCCGCGAAGCCTGCCTGCTGTCTGAGGTGCAGAACGCCTGGAAACCCAACTTCATTTCAAGCGGAGACTCGTTTAAAAATTAAGTGCGCTGTGGGACTTTGCTGACAGTCGTTTTCTCATGGCCTGACAGGTTCTTCGCTCTGTGCTGCTGTTTCCGACGATCGAGCGTATGGCTCAGTCCCCTCAAGGAAAGCTCATGACCCCTTTGCTGTGCAAACTTCGTTACGTTCTGTACATGCCCGTCTACCTGCTGTCCTTTCTACCAGAGGGAGTCAAAGCCTCCCTGGTGCGGTTTGCTCTGCGAGGAATGAAGACCTGTGATGAATCTTCCATAACAACCTCCGTAAATCTCTTCAGCGTGGACTGCATTGGTGAGCACATTTTGTTGGTTGGGTTTGGGTTTTTTTTGTTACACAAGCTTTTGTATTGTTCTCATTTAGTAAATGTTGATGTAGTTTGGTGGGCAACAGCTTAATACTAAAGCATGAATAAGTTTTGAAGGACAGGTCTAATCTTTTCTCAAAGTAAGACCATAGGTACAGGAAAATCTCAAATGAGTCAATTTTGAGAAAAAGTGTTACGGGGAAAATAACAAATAAAATATTTCCCCAAAGAATATGTATTTCTTAAGAAAACCTATACCAACCTATACTACTAACAGTATCTCACATGATTAAAATACTGGTTTACAATCTTTTGTGTTACATATGTCTGCTTACTTTTTGCATTTCATTCGTATTGGATGGTGAAAATAGATCAGTAATCAATTTCACAAAGGGTTCTTTGCGTCTGTTTTTTTAAAGCTGTGATTTAACCAGCTGTATAGATTTTGTCATCTGAATTGGAACATTGGTAAATTCAGAAAAGGACCTTTAGTCGACAAAAATGCATAGAAATTACTTTATGCACAGAAGAATTTCAGCACTTTTCTGGGCACACGGAGAAAGATTAACGTTCCTCCAGTGCATATTGTACGCATATTTTGCACATTCTAGCAAGAGAAACAGCTTTAAGAAGCGGAATAATTTCACCTAAATTATGTTAAGTTTAGAATGAAAACCAGAACGTGGATTGTGCTATACTCCAGGTATTTTGGTAAGTTAGCAGTTGAAAACAATTTGGAATAGAATTGACGTGCTAACGCAGTAATAATAGCAAGAAGGAAGTTTTGATTGCATTAATAGTAGTAAAAACACATTCCTACATTTCCAGTTGTGCTCTGTCTTCTATCAGTTAAATTTTACCAACTAATCGTCCAACCAGATGTGCCAGAGTAACTGTGGTCGCAGCGAGGTCCTGTACCGTTCGCGGGAATCTGTGGATGTGTTGGTCTGTATTGGAGGCTCGCTGCAGGACTGTACAGAGACTGACAGCGGGGTGGGCAGCGAGGGTTCGTACTGCCAAACCGAGACAGCCCCGCTGATGTTGTACGACCCTGGCATAACGACAGTCACTCCGTTGCAGTACCCGCTGCCTGCCAAAACCAGGCTCCCGGTCCATAATGGAAATTTCTGATAGGAGTCCTGTGGTTTGTTGCTTGAGCTCCTATTAATTTATGGCAGGTTTATGATGACCGAGGAGAAAGCAAGCATGCAATCATATGCACACTAGGCTTTCAGGCTTCTTCTTTTGATAATTTGGTCTCGGAGAAAGGTATGTGAAGGTCCGTGGGGTCACACCTCCACAAGCCAGGAAGCCTTCCCTGGTCCCCACAGATAAACTCTTACCTCTCAAAACAGGCTGTCCACATCCAGAGTTGTATTGGAAATGGTCCTTGGCCTGCATTAACCTCCAAAAAAGCGTGGCCAGCCATTGTCTGTGAGTGCTGTTTGGCCCAGACCACAGCAGTGGCAGGAATAACGTCACAGAACGGATTTTGTGTGCTGCTGTTGGAGCCGGACTCTCCGAGCTCTTTAGTCCCCGGGTGAATGAGCCCAGTTGATGTGTACGTGTTGTAATTTTCTGTGTGTGCCAGTGTCTGATCAGTGTGCAAGCTGTACGGTAAATTGAGGCAAGGAACCAGGCTGAAGGCTCTTTAGGATGTGATCTCTGCCTATGTTCAATTTATTGACTGAATTCGTTACACCAGAATGAAAACCCCTGTGAGCCAATGTCTTGTAAAACTTGCATAAATAGTCTTTACTGATGCAACTGGTTCCTTTGGGCTTGTGATATCATCTCTTTCAAACAGAATTCCCCTTTGGTTTCATCTTTGGAAACTGGTGGTGTTTTACAACCCAGTGACTCAGGACCACATGTGTGGATTAATAATCTTAGGCTTTCCAGAGATTGCCTGTTAACCTTCTCTTGTATTGTTTGCGGACAATAGAAAATGTTACCATTCAGCAAAAATTCTCTAAACCTAGCACAACAACCGAGTCTGTTTTATGGGACTGCGCATCTGTGAGTTACTGAAGCCCCTGAATTTGTGGTAAATGTTTTTCTCATTGATTCCTCGTCCCTTAATAAACTGCTAGATACGGTTCAGAAGCGTTGAGCAAATGAAGTTGTTTCTCCTCTCCAGGAAGGTTGCATGTCAACTCATTAAAAATAGACATATTGCCTTTGGCACGTACATCTGTTGCATTACTGTAATTGTAATAAAAGCTGTGATTAAGGGCAGAAAAGATGGTAAAAGTTTCCTTAGAACTAATACGTCCGTTAAAACAAACCAACCTGCCAGGGATTTGTTACCACATCCAAAGCTTAGTCACAACAATGTTTTCTCTCCTCTGAAAGGAAATGAGATTTGAAAACATAATTATAGCGGAACTCTAAGACCGAGTGCCGCTCCCGTTGACATCGAGAGTGAAATGCTCCATTCAGTGGCAGCAGAATCAGGCCCTTGGTTGAAAGAGTCCGTGAAGGAAGAATTATGTTACCTATCTGTCCCGCTGTTTCAAATTATGTTCCCGTTTCTTATCCAAGCTCGTCTCTCCGTTGCCCTAACTTTATAGTTGATGATACGTAGAAGCCCAGTCACACAGCAGAAGGCGTTGCGATGACACTGTGCAGAAAGGTAACATCATCTAACGTCTTGTCCCAGTGGGGAAATGGTACAGAAAGAGGAGAGATAGCAGGGACTGTAAAGAAAGTGGATTCTGAGGAAGAATGGGAAGACACATTGTATAAATAATAAAGGCCCTATTAGAAATAAGCTAACAGGTCTGAAGGCAGTTTGCCTACATGGATTAAACTTCTAGCAAAGATATCTTAGGGTAGAAAAAGCCTTACAATCAACAAAATAGCATTTGAGTACTTGTATTCATGAATCTAGGAGATGAATAGAGAGCAAAATTAGACATTAATGACCTTGAGTTATCTGAAACATTGTCACTCTGTTTATTCAGGCTAGGAAAACAAGGCTAACCGTATCTAGCACAGTGGTGGCGGTTCTACAAATCATGTACAGTCCTGCAATGCTGGAATACTTTGGCACTCCAGCGCGTTGAAATTTGTAAACATTTCTTCGGTGACAGATGCCAGTAGCAGACTTACAGTGACAGTAAACCATTCTATCTACACGGGACAGGATTTATTGTCCAGCCGTTTGACTGGCAAACTTCCTCCATTTGTTTCTGTAAAATTTCCACAAAAGCACAGACATTACATAATCAGTAAACACCGCAAAGCTTTTTCGAAAGGCGGGCTCGCAGGTCAGAGGTTAACGTCTGGATGACAGTGAAGATACAGATAAGCACAATAGCAAGAAAAACCTCCAACTGGCCCAAATGAGGTGCGTCCTTTGTGATCTTGAACCTGTGACTTCCCTGGAGGAATCTCCCTGTTTGTTTAACCTATTCGGGGAGCGGGGGGAGCGCGTTGGTCCGGGGCAGGGGAGGTCTGCTTTGTGCAGTGCAGGCAGGTTGGGAAGGAGGGGACTCGGAAACCCGAAACGAAGGTTTCAGATGGGTTTGGGCTGTCACACGAGTGAAAGCTGGAGACAGTAGATTTCCCGTTTATTTTAAGCATCCAAGAGATGTTGTAAGAAGAGAAGGAGCTAAGATTAAACTTCAGAGTTTGGATTCAAATTTTATCTTGATCCAAGTGTGGAGACATTCCGATTTCATGCGGAGTGTTTACTTTTCCCTCATTTTACAGAGAAAAAAGGGCTAAGGCAGTTTCACGCACTCCACTCTTCCTCCCACAGGACTGCGTAAGAAGTGAGAGTCCTGACTCGAGGTACTGAGGCTTGTCTCCCAGCGGTAACTACTTCTCTCTGTTGACTGTTCAGGATGGCAAAATTACATCCCTGAAGTGCCTGCTATAGAGTAAAAACATTTCTCATAGGATAAAATTTGCGGAACTGTGAAATAGCATCTGTGAGATAAATTTGTATCAAAAGCCAGTGAAATGTAAGCTTGCAATACGTATGAAAATGGAACATAAGCTTTTACATTGACTAAGTTATTTTAAACTTTTATCTCCAGGGAGCCAACTGGAAAAGTTCATTCTGGGTTTGAATTATCCCGACCTTGGGAGTTATCATGTCTTGAGGTCTGTTTCTATTCCATTTCTCTCTTCTTAATCAGAGAGAATTTAAATATGACATTATGGGTGGTCTTCATCTGACCACTGCGGACATCATGCTGTCCCAATAGTTGGGATCTGAAGCAGGTCAGGTGGATCACACCCGACAGATGACTGTTTCTCTTTACTGGCTACAAAGGGACCCTCTCTTTGCTAGATACATAAATTGGAGGAGATAAAATCCCATTCTGTATCTACTGGCCATTTGTTTTGCTGCAGACATCAGAAAACAATGGGATCTGAATTGTCCGTGCAGCCTTTACCCTTGCTGCCAGAAGGACAGTCAGAAATCCCATGCTTTGGCTGCGTTGAATTTACAGCTGGTTTCTAGTGACAGTCCTGTCGTTTGTTTCCTGCTGCCTTTGAAAATTCATTTCACATCTCCATCTCCATTTCCTGACAAGTAAGACGGGAAATTTTTGATGAGTTCTTTCTGGGGACTGAAATGCTATAGAAACACCCATCTAACTGAAATACTTGGGTAAGAACAGTGCGTGGAGTTGTATTCGTGGCACTCAGTAGCCCCTCCACCTGTTCTGCTCATATTTTTCAGAGTTAAAAAAACAATGTTTGAAGTATTAGGTAAGCACTTGATAAACGAATTCACCTGAAATGGTGAAATAAGAGTGCTTTGCCCCCTAAAGGGTATTTTGAAAAGTTATATGACCACATAGCTAAAATTAGTTTACTTTTCTTTCTTTGTTTTTAAATTAAAATGGTGTTCTTTTCTTGCACTGAAATTAAAATTTAACTCCTAAAAGTAACAGAAGGTACAATGAGCACCTCTAAATTCAGCACAGAAGGCAGGGCTCTTTTGATTTTGTTGTACAGAACTAAAACTCTCCATCGAGTAAAAAGCCAAGGGGGCATTGCCCATTATATTCTCATCTAGGTCGTATTATTTCAAACACTGTAACAGCGCACTTAAAAAAGAACTTGTTATTGAAGGCAAGCAATGAGCTATTGCCCAGCATCACATAGCTGATCAGCAGCAGAACTGTACATAGACCTACATCCCGGGGCAGCAGCGGATCTAGTGAGCCTGCTTAACCATTAGTTTAGCCTTATAAATACATATACCTATGTCAGTCATGAGCAGCTTCCACAAACCACATTCACTAGACAGGCATGCAGGGCATTTTAAAATAGAGGCAGAGGACAGACTTTTTAGTAGGACCTGTTGCAATAGGACAAGCAGTAATGATTTTAAACTAAAAGAGGGTAGACTCAGACTGGATTTAAGGAAGAAATTTTTTTATGATGAGGGTGGAGAAATACTGGAACAGGTTGCCCAGAGAGGTGGTAGGTGCCCCATCCCTGTACATATTCCAGGTCAGGTTGGATGGGGCTTTGAGCAACCTGATGTAGTTGAAGATGTCCCTACCCATGTCAGGGGGTTGGACCTAGGTGACCTTTAAGGTCCCTTCCAACCCAAACCATTCTATGATTCTATGACAGAAACTGATACCACAGAGGATTTCAGGTAGTACCTTGCAATCTCACACCTACATTTTTCATAGTGGGCAGGAGAATAAAAGCTTTCTCTCCCCCTTCACCACTGGGCAACTGTGCAGATCTTTGAACATAGACCAGTAAATTTTCAAGTTGATTTTCCAGGCTGACTGAAATCAAAGCCGTGGCAGTAAAAAGTGATTGCTTTGTTTCTTCTGATGAACGTAGGTTTTAGATAACTTCTGGCTATAATGCAGAAATCATTTCAAGGATAATTTTCTACTTTTCTAATTAAATATGTATAGAATTTCAGACATGATGTATATAGCTGGACAAAATTTCAGAGAGCGCAGAAATTACTGACATGGTATGTAAATTGCATCTACATAAACTAAATAATGTTAAATCTGGACAGTGTAGTGTAATATATCACAGGTGAGGAAAAGGATGAAGCTCAGCAGGTCTCCTCTCTTCCTCCTGTGTGCATTCTTTGAGACAAAGTGGGGCAGAAAGAGGTCAACATGATACAGCAG